TGCTCCTCTGTCCATCCATTCATTTTTGCCAGTAGCTCAAATTGTGCTCTATATGCTTCCCACGGTGCCTTCCCATCATACTGCTGTATCTTCCTTCGTACTGGATCACTCCTATTGCTGACATTCATATCTGGGATGTGAGTTCTAACCGGACTGAATATGTCTACATTAGGGTTTAGCTGCGGGATCTGGAAGGGGCTTGCTATTGTTTGGGGCTGGTTAAGTCGAAGGTTAATGTATCCGCCTTGTGTAAAAGACAATAAATCATCCTTTATTGTATCTAATTCACTTTTAAATTTACTAATGTTTTCAATTTATACTTCATGTTTCCTTTCTTGTTCCAGTTACCACTGCTGTAGTCTCTCTTCTTCTTTATGTTCTTTCTCCTCCAACAACTGCTGTAATTTCTTTTCTTGTTAATTTTTTCCTCCAACAACTGCTGTAATCTCTCTTCTTGTTTCTTTTATTTTTTCCTCCAACAACTGCTGTAATCTATCTTGTTTATTTTGCTGTTCGAGCTGCCACTGTTGCAGGTTTTCTTGCAACTGCTGTAATCTCTCTTCTTGTTTCTTTTCTTTTTCCTCCAACAACTGCTGTAATTTCTCTTCTCGTTCTTCTTGTTTCTTTTGCTGCTCTTGTGTTGCTGCCATAAAGTCTGCTAAGCTGTAGTTTGATTTGCCACTTCTCATTTCAATTTTTTTATATTTTCTATCCCACTCTTGACACCAATTTGTTACGTCTCTGTATGTTTGTTTGTTAATTATTCTATGATACAAGTCCTTTCTTAAATAAAACTTGTTTGTTCTTCCTCAATACAACTTTGTAATACTCTTAATTATCATAGTTACACGCTATAGTTCACAACAATTCACTCACTTTCTACTGTGCTTAGACTTAATTGTCCATCTCCGCCAACTATAGTTCCAATCTCTGTGTCTGCTGTCCTTGGTTCCCGCTGACCGTAATCTCTGTCCTTGGTTCCCCACTCTTTCTTTCTCTCTGCCTGCTTCGTCTTGGCTTCGTGTCTGCTTCTGCCTCGGCTCTCTCACTGTCTAGCGCACTTATATATGATAATACCGCCTGTTCTAGAAACTTCTAGGCTCTCAACACGTGCTACCAGCGTCACTTGACTTTTGCTGTCATAACACACTAGTAAATCTTCTAGAATACTCATCATGTGACCCCCGCTGTCGTAACACACTAGTGAATCTTCTAGAATACTCGTCGCGTGACCTCGCTGTCATAACATTATTATTTGAAGTCATTCTAGAAAGAAAAAATGGGCAATTTAGATTTATTTCAAAGTTTTTTTTGGGTGGTTACATAGATAGGATAGAAAAAATAACATAAAATATAAAATTTGGGAAAAAAACATTTGATATTTATTTAGGATATTTTAGGGATTATACAAACGAAATTTGAAATTTTTCAAATGCAGAAAAGTATTCCTAATCTTAATATGAAAATCACTTTGCACTTGGAGCAGTCAACACTCTGACACAATATAATTAAACATAAAGTTTTAGCTTGCGAAATTTCATAAAGATGCAATTTGTTTGTTGTAAAAGGGTTAATTGATTTATTTCTGATAATTTTTAATTGGGCATAGTGCCATCAATTTGTTTGATGATATACTTAACTTACAAACACAGTTATCCTTTCTTTTTGTAGACTTATATAATTGGTCACCTGGTATTCAGAAAGTGCTATGGTAAACTAAAGTGTGGTAAACAGAATATTGCTCAATACAAAAATATTGAAGATGAAACCAGATATTCACCTGACTGGTTGCCACTGAGTGGATCTACAACTGAAACTTCCCTGACAACAGTCCAGACCATTGACTCAGGAAATTATAACCTATATGCTGAATCTACATACCAGTCAGTAAGCAAGATGTGACCACATTTTTTGTGCTTCGGCATTTACATCAGATTTCAAAAATATTGAAATAAACATTGGTTCTCTTCTGAAAAATGAAACTTACCCATATCAATATTCAGAGCATAATTAATATATTACATACTTGAAATCTGACACATCTGAACTAATTTAATCCAATTGGTGCCTCAAGAAAGAGAAGTCTCACTAGAAGCAATTAATACATGAGGTGGAAGCCTCAGTGAAGTTGAAATGACAAGACTGTGAACATATGATTGTAAGTTTTTAGAGTATGTAATCTTTGTATTTCATTGTATTAGAGTGGCTATGTAACAATTATGTATTACTAACAACACACAACCTTTCAAATAGAATATTCCGTAAATATGAAACTGTAGTGCATTTAGTAATAAAAGTGTTATTTACTAAGGCTGACAAGGTCGTTTTTAATTCGTTAAAATAATAATGCTTTTTGTTTTGTTTTTCTGTTTAGCTAATTGGTTGTTACTGTTTTTAACATTATAAGCCCTCAGACTTCTAATCCATGAGATACCTCTCGTGCAGTGGTTAGATCAGGAGTACTGAAATTGGCTAAGGAGATTGGTGAGGCAAAGCATCATGTAATATGATCTCTACCTGGATGATAAGGAGGAAGACTTTGACTGATTGTGATGAATGATATAAAGATGAGTCGATTGTAGAACAGCATAGGTGTTCAAGAACTCTTTTGTGGCACTGACATAAACATCCACATCAGTATGGCTGGAATTAAAACCAACTAGTGGTTAAGATGACTCTTTGTACAAAAGTTAAAAGGGAGGTGCAACACTCTCTGTCTGAGCCATGGGATGAGGTTTCAGGGCAAAATATCTACAACTTATTTTGTAATTGTCACTAAATTACATCAGTTAGGACAGATGTTGGTCGAAGGTCAACAACTGTAAGGATGAGGAGACCTTTATGAATTATCTGTTGACTATGTAGTTTTACAGTTCATGCCACTTTTGACTCTGTAGATCATTACATCTAGGTCAATCCAATTCAAGTGCAGTTATTATATGTAACCATAGAAAACTAGCAGTTAGTGTAACTGTTGATTGCTAGGAACACTGATACACCAAGTTTTTGTGATCCTTGCTGTCCCGGAACTCAAAGGAAGTTTTACTAGAAAAATCGGCAGACATTTACCAGAGGGACTATCTGAGACTTTTTATGTATGTATGTATGTATTACTTTATATTGAAAAAACTTTGTCTCCTTTTGGTCTTTAAAGTGTATAGAGATTTAATAAGATATATTAAACTGGTTTTGGAGACTTACCATGAAAGTCCGTGTCACTATCTGGCCATATTCTATTTGACTACCATGCAGCAGCAGTGGATTAATGGGAGGGCAGATGGCTCCAATGGAAGTGTGAGAGTCCGTGTCACTATCTGGCCATATTCTATTTGACTACCATGCAGCAGCAGTGGATTAATGGGAGGGCAGATGGCTCCAATAGAAGTGGGGACCCCAAAGATTTAGGCTAGGATACTGTATGTGAAGAGAATTATTGAAGGGAAACGAGTTTTTAAAAATATTTTTTTTTTAATTGGGAGTGCTATTTAAAATTTTATTATAGTTATGAATGAATAAATACTTATTTTGTGCAAGATTTATGTTGTTAAAATAGGATTAACAATCAAAAATGTACTTATACAAGAAATTGTATATCAAAGTGTATATTTAAACATGATTTAACACTTATCTTATACAACAAAAATAATATCCGTGAGTGGGTCCCAGTATTATTCACTGTCCTGTGACCCTGAGGTTTCTTAATCTGTTGCTGCTGTGCAGCATAGTTTCCATAGCATTGCCATAAGGCTCTCATGTCTAAAGCACATCAATCATCCATGCTGATTTCCATAATCCATCTACTGTATGAGGAAACAGGTGTTTCACCAGTCTAATCACACAAATCCATAGCTGCTGTGTCAAGTGGCTTGTCTAACATGTCTTCATGTGGAAAAATGTGAGTACTTGTTTCATTTTCCAACTGTTTGATGTATGTAACAGTTGAAGGTATGTGTTGAGGAAGCAACTTGTGTACATGTAACTTATGTCACTTTTCCAGATGGAGATCCTTCTTCATTATGTTGCATGCTGTTGCCTGGGGCATATGTAAGGCCCTTGTCACTGACCTTTGGGTTCATAGATTCTCACCAGTTACAAGATTCTAAATTTCTCTTATCATGACCAGAGTATGATTGGCTGCAAGTCTTGTTCTGAATGTTCTTGGAACCCCAGGTTCATCCCTATTCCTTTATTTTCCAAAATCATTAAGGTACAAGGGATAGGGATATCCCCATGTTGGAACCAAGTCTTTGATCTGAACACATCTTTCTAATCTAAGTTTACGAATATTTTTTGCTAACATCGGCTGTTTACATACCCTTCCCAAAAACAATTTTCAGTGGCATTGACACTACCTACAAACAACTTGAAATTTAGTTCTTTTACGTACCATTCTTTCTTTCAGCTACGATTGTTACGTGACTATATAATTATAATATAATGTAGTGAACTCGCTGTAAATTGTGTTTATAGTTTATACATTTCGTAACAAAGTAATTGTGATAAACTATTGTTTGAGTTTTCAAAGCAAACAACATATAAGATACAGTAAATTCTTCAAGTAAGATAATATGAGATATTTATACAGTGTAGTAAATTTCTGCTTAGTTGAATTTTACATTTCTACTATTTATGGTGCATTTTTCTTTGTATATTTATTTCTTTATGCTGGAATATTATGATCATTGTGGTTAAATTTATTAACTGCTTCTTTAAATATTAAAAAACAAGAACACAGTTCTATATTTAATATGATGTGTGATAAACGTTTTCCAGATTTATTTGTTTATTGTTCTCGTGTATTATGGTCAGTGCATTAACAGTTGTCTTCCATCATCAGTCAAACTGAAATGTAGTTTTTTTTACACCCATTTTATAAATCAATTAAATACTGATGTTCCATGTCCTATGCTTTCCTTGGAATTGCTTCTTCCATCATAAATCTGCTCAGTCTGATAGTCATGAAGATGCAATATTGTCTGGCATTTCAGTTTGTATTATAACAAGCTTATGTGAATGATGTAGAGGTCAATGTTAAATATTGACAAACTTTCCACAAGCCATCCTGTGTGCAGGTAACTAGTTTAAGCAGAACGAAAGTACAAAAGTCCAGTGGAGCTTCTTCATATCAAGGATTTGACAGATATATGGTTGAATGGGACCTGTTATTCTGCTGATTACCCATAGTGGACAAAGTTCAGATCGCCTGTTATGTAGCTTTGTGCAAAAACAAACAAACTCGTGGAAGTAAGTAAAAGTTAAAATAGATAAAAGCATTTAAATAACATAAACTAGTCAAAGGGCAACTTTATTAAAGTCCATTTACATGTAGTTGAAACTATGAAAGTTCATTCAATATAAAAATAATGACAAGATGTTGCCAATATCCAAAACACAAATCCATGATTTCAAACTGGGATCAAAAAGTGTGGATGGTCCTGAACCTCTATGGCCCTATGCCACTGATCAGTGAACTTTAAATTGTCCTGAGAACTTAGGCAGATCAGTCAAAATAAAATAGGGGCTTACGTCAAGAAAAAGCATGACATCATGGTAATATAATATTTATGAATATCTATATTGCTATCCATCTATGTAAAAACTCTGTGATAGCCAACAATATATATATATATATAAGAAGGTTGAATACATCTTTGAATAAAATGGGACATTATGAATTAAAGCTGTTAATGAATTGTGTGTAGGTTTTTTAAATACTTACAAGTAATATTATTAGTATAAGTGCATTATATATATTCACATAACAGGAAAGTAGAATTCTTTTGGACTATCAGTTTAAATTTTCTAATCGTTCACAAAGTTTGTCTTCTGAACTGTCAGAGTTAGCTTCTCATCTCATTCAGTAAAGAATGATGATTGTATGATAGCTCAATTTGCTCTGACGATTCCGAACCATGGTAAAGCTCTATATCATTGCTGCTTTTATTGTGTACTTCTGTGATATGTGGGCATATACCATGCATTTTCTACCTTCTATAGTGATGTACAAATTTTCAAAATTTTTGATTACTTAGCTTCTGCACTGTTATGGTGACAACATATGGTGAAGAACACAATTATGATTATCTTATTCTAGTTGCTTTGTTTCTTTGTTCTTTTTAATAGGATACTTCTTCTCAGCTCATAAGGATATTTCACTATTGTATGAAGCATTTGGGTTGAACAGGCAGGCTCTAAAATTTCATTTGCTGGTCGAATATGATGTTTACCAAAAGAAACAGCTGACAAATGCTGTCAAGGAACAGAGCTCATAAAGTGGCACTGACTACTGGACAAAAATACACAGGTTTACGTCCTAGATTTGACTGTGCTTTCTTATTTCTGTTTTATACTATACAGTCTTTGGGAAGGTCTTACATTTTTGGAAATTATATTCAGTTTGGCAGCAATTGACCTTGAGAGAGAGAGGAAGCTTAAGAGTCATATGTTATTTGGTGAAAGAAGGACTGTTCACTCATCCATGTAGGTACGCATGCTGTGTCTTTTGCTTTTTGCTTTATTTGTGTAATAAAGATTTTGTACTTGTAAAAAAAAAAGTTGTCCAAACTCTGATTCCACATTTAAAAATGAAAACTCATTCAAATCATCTGTCTCGTAAATTCCTGGGTGGACCTGCTGTTATCTTTCAAGAATTTTTTGGGAAATCAGGTTAACTGAGATTAGCACAAGTAAGAAAGAAACATTTGCTGCCATTATACAGGGCTTGGCATGATCAGGTGGTTAGGGCACTTGACTCACAATCTGAAGGTCGTGGGTTCGAATCCCTGGCCCACCAAATGTGCTCACCCTTTCACCTGTGGGGGCATTATAATGTGACATTTAATCACACTATTCATTGATAAAAGAGTTGGCAGTGGGTGGTGATGACTAGCTGCTTTCCCTTTAGTTTTTCACTGCTAAGTTAGGGATGGCTAGCGCATCTGGTGGACTGAGACCATGTAAGCATGCTTCTAAGGATCAACCTTAGCTACAGATCTGCCAGAATTGTGAGGCACCTGGTGAACTAGAGACTATGAAGTTGTCCATCAAGCCACCAGTTTATTGCCAAAACCACTGGTGACTAGTAAACAGACACTGGTTGTGCCACTGGCAGATGATTTCTGTCAGTTAGAGCTGTGTTCCTGGCAGGTACAGATGAGACAGTGTGTACCTTTGGATGAAGACTGTGAGCCATCATGGACTGAATCACTCAGAGGAATGGATTAGTTCACTGTAGAGCCACCAGGATTGGCTTGTCACTCTCATGCCTTGGACCAGAGATTGGCCACCCATTGGGGTGTTACAGTACCTGCGAATAGCCTCTTGCAAGAGCCAAGAACATTAATAACATCTCTTGGCACCTCTCAGGATCACCACAAGGCTTTGGTCAAGCACACAAGATCCTGTGAGTGATGCTAAGCAAATCGTGCTTCTAACATTCAAGGGAAATGCAAAAGAGGATTTTCATCAGTTCCTGAGATATTTCATGCAGGTCACTGCCTATAATGGAGGAATTCTAAAGCAGGCCTGGTCCCCGAGATTAGATGTTCCAATCCCTAACGATGTTGATCTTCTGGATTAAGAATAGATGAATGGATAGACGACCATCGGGAATGAGCTACCCTATCAGTTTGATCTGATGGCGGATCAGCAAACTAGTGGGCCAAGTTTAAGGCCCAGTAAATGAAGTGGAAATTATCGATGCTGATGGTATTTCTAGGGTTGTATCAACCATTCTGCAACTGAAAGGAAATAAAGGCTACCAACATACTTAAAGGGATTGATTAATTGCAATGGCATTTTAGACTCGATGCAGTGAATGCAATTTAGTGACTTTAAAGGCGATTATGCTGACATATTTGTGGGACCGGACCCGATAGTTGACTAGATTGAACAATAGTGACTTAGCATCATTCAGATAGGGGCAACACATGTCCAATATAGTAACTGCCATGCCAATGTCGTCGGATCACTAGGGAGGTTGCAAGTGCTAAAATACAGTGGATGATACAGGAGGGGATCATTCAACCTTTCACGGGTGCTTGGTCATCTCCATTGGTAATTTTCAGAAAGAAGAAATGCATGCCAAAATTCTGTGGGAACTTCCAACAGATAAGCATGGTGACTCATGTTGACACCTTTCCATTGCCATAGATGAATGTCTGTACACGTTAGAAGACTTCTGTTGGTTTAACTCCTTGGATATGTTGTCCAGATACTGGAAAGAGCTAAACTGCTTTTAGAGTGAGAGATGGCTTATATGAATTCAGCAACATACCATTTGGTCTGCGTAATGCCTCAGCCACTTTTCAGAGTCTGATAGATCTTGCACTTAAATAACTGCAGTGGGAGAAATGTCAGTGACGTTTTGATGTTTGGCTGCACTTTTTAGTGGCTGAGAACGTGAGAATAGTATCCTAGCATTTAAGAAAGGCAGGTCTGAAACTGAAGCCCTGGAAGTATTTGCTTATGCAAGTAAAGGGTGGAGTTCCTTGGCCACATTGTGAGAGACTAGTCTTGACATAGGAGGTCCATAATTTTCTTGATTTTGAATGATACTGTTGATAATTTGTGGCCAATTTCTCAATGGTAGCAGTACTATTGTCAGTTCTCACGAAAGTGGAAGTGCACTTTAATTGGAATGAGGAGTATGACCAAGCATTCTGATCCCTAAAGATGCTCCCATCACCATCAGCATTGTTTCTTCTGGACACTGACACCAATGGCGACAGAGCTGTTGCTGTTACAAGATGGATTGGAAAATGTGATCACGTATATTAGTTGTATGCTCATGGATTCTGAATGCAGGTACTGCATAATGAAGAGAAAGAATTGCTTGTCATGGTTATCTTGGTAAAGCACTTCCACCACTACTTCTATGGTAGGATGTTTACCAACCAAGTAAGCCAGTCTTTGTTAAAGTGGTTACTAAACTTTACAAATTCTGAGATAATAGCATGATTGGTAACAATGTTGCAAGAATATGATTTTGACATAGTTCACTGCCTGGACAAACAATACAGAAACACAGTCTATCTCACCACACAGTGAAATTTTTTCCATCTGTGGAATGTCTGTGTGAGAGTTAAAACTGCAATTGTGTTAGCCATAGTGACAACAGACCATAAAGTAGACAACTACACTAAAGATTGTATTTAATGTTTCAGGGGCTCTCTGATGAGCAACTGAAGGACTGGCCTAGCAAAGACGCATGTAACCTGTGGCATTTGTATAGGAAATTACGAGTGCATGAATGTATGCTGTACAACTGCTATCAGCCCAACAAATGGGGTGCTCCAGCAGTGCTTCAAAGATACTCTGGATTTTGAACAATACCTGAACCAGAAGGCACCAAGGTGTGACCTGCACTTGTGCTAAAATTTGATGATGGTTCTTCTGGTCACGTGTGATACAAGATGCATGGCTCCATTGTGAACACTGCTCAGTATGTGCAACCCACAGGAAAAACAGCTGAGGCAAGATAAACTTCAACAAAACATTGTTGGGCCTCCTCTGTAGAGAATTGTCCTGGATATTTCTGGTCCTCTCCTGGAAACTGCAGAAGGCCATCACTACATACTCGTGGTCTATTTCATAGGGTGAGATAAAGTCTATCAATTTGCCGACACACTATCACAGACTGTTCCTGATGTATTAACTGAGAACTGGATAGCACAGTTTGAAACCCTAGAGAAAAGTCGCATTGTTGGGCCTAGCATTAACAGTAGACTTTTCACTGAGTTGTATAAAGTATTAGATATGAACACTAGTACTTCATCTTAACCCCTATTCTGATGGTTTGACATAACAAGTAGCACAAACAACTAAGTGAATGTATGCAAAGTTTATTAAACCCAATTGAACTGAGTGGGATGAACAAAACGTGTAATGATAGCATACAGAGGAACAGAAATGTGATTGACAGGCTGATACCAAACCTGCTCATATTTAAATCTCCACGAATGTGATGCATGGGTCTTCACTATGAGGATTTTCCTAATGCCTCCAAGAATATGTAGAATGGCTGAGATCAACAATGACCACTGCACATGAGCTAACCTGCCAGCAAATCGTAAAGGTAGTACAGTGATAAAAAGGTGTTACAACTGGACATTGAAGGAACAGATGTCCCAAAATGGCAACTGGGAGTGGGACAAGTAGCAGCATGGAAGCAACTGGAATCTGGCTGGATTAGGCTGTACCTCATACTCAACCGACTTGGTCTTCTAATGTATGAAGTACAATGG